AAAGAAAAATCATAAAAATTATGGAAGTGATTTTACGAATTCAGTCGTCCTTATGGGCACGTTTTTAAAGCAAGATATCTAATTCTAAGGAAGTTCCTAGCTTTTGCTATAATAAATTTGCAGAACTAAATAAATGTTCTTCAAAAAATTTTTCTCCATAGGATTAGTATAACTGGCATTATTTCTGACTATAGGCTTTCCATAAGATAATTTTATAATGCTTATTTATGATAGTTACATGGCAGAACAAAAAGTGATTTATATACTTTTACATATTCAAAAATTGTAAACTCTGCACTGTTTCCCTTGGATTGTAATTAATGTATGTGCATGTACAAAGGGATATCAGTTACAGAGCTACAAGAATTCTGAGGTTATGTGGGGAAAAGCTCTCTTCTAGACACATTTCCCCTGAAACTAACTTCTAATAATAATAACCATTAAACTTTTTTATTGCCAAAAATTTGATTTGCGTGTTTTGGAAATTAAAAGGAGTGAGTGTGATTGAGTGGGGATTTGAATATTTGGACATTGCAAATCTTTAATAAAGGTAAATGAGGGCCTTGAAATGATGTCATTCTTTTCCCTTGCTCTTTGTTTCTCCCAAACCAATAGAAGCATTCCAAATAATTGCATTAACTATAAAGCTGCATTAAGTTTCTTTATGCAGTAATTAAAACTTGTTGTCAGTTTTTAGGACTAGGTATATTTCTGTACAAAGCCTTGAAAATGGTTACCAGTGCTTTGATATGATCTTTTAGAGAGAAATTTAAGTTTGTCCTACAGGATTGCTAAGAAGTACTTAGATCGTATGAGATCTTTCGCCTTGTGAGTGCTTGGACATTAATTAGAATTGTGGCATTTTATGGGTCACCCAATGGAATTATTGTTATTGGTTACTTAATAGATTTGTTTACAAACAGGCTTGTTCTTAGAGATACTTGGAAATTTCAGCAAATAGGTAGTTGGGAAAATGACATGCGGCACTTAGGATTTTAATGAATTAATAGTGTTCCAGTGTGAGATCGACTGGACTACATCCTCACTCCCATGCCCTGTGAACACGGAGAAAGCTTGGGAGGCAGTTTCCCAGATTTCTCTACCCAAAGTGTTTCAGTTAGATTTTGTTAATGGAAGGTATTAGGAACCAGTTTGAAAGTCAAAAAAGAAGGAGAAACCATTATATTTTTAGCAGCAACTATGAGCAGGTGCACAATCAACAGAAGTGAGGCTTATGGTGGCTTCAAGACAAGTCCCTATGGTGGCGCTGCACTGTGGTTTGGGCATGTCCTGATTTCATGCCCTCTATCATCACTTCCCTTGACTTTTGCTCTCCTAGCCCTTCCCATAATCATGGAACACCTAATTCCCGGTATTAAACACTTTCCTACTTGATATCTATAGGTTTTATATTTTTCTGATAAAATCCTGCGTTATCTAACCATAAAACTTAAAAAAAAACCTCAGGCCGTTGATGGGGGGTGGGAAGGAGGGGAGGGTAGGTGATGGGTATTGAAGAGGGCATCTTTTGGGATGAGCACTGGGTGTTGTATGGAAACCAATTTGACAATAAATTTCATATATTAAAAAAAAGTAAATGTTTCTACCAGTTTATGGCTCCACTGGCCCTGAAAAAAAAAAAAAACACCTCAGGCATTGTTTCAACAAATATAACCAGAATTTTGCTAAAAAGTACCTAGCACCCTGCGTGATAGGGAGACTGCATAGATGTATATATTTTTCCCCTCTCACCATTGTCTTTGGTTGTGTTCCCCAGAAGCACACTCTGAGACTAGGGTTTAATATAAGTAGTTTGGTTGGGTAATTCCAGAAAGCACTGGTAAGGAAACCAAGAAGTTATATAAGTAAGGGAAAGAAGCTAATAAAGGGTAAGGTTAATTAGCATGTGATTGTGGAGGGATATTAGAGTTCAGTCATGCTGAGGACCTCTCAGTCCAGAGCTTCAGAATTGTCCTATTCAAGGGCAAGGAAGCTGGTGTATTGGTCACTAGTTTCCATCTGTGACTGGTTGAGGGCCATGCCAGGAAGCATTTACTCTTCAGTACTTATGCTCTGCTCCTCGTGCTAATGGGCCAAGCAGGATGCTGCAGCCAGAGATAGCTCTCAAGCAGTGACAATTCCAAGTCCTTGTAGTAAGACATCATGGACATGTACAAGAAATTATTAAAGGGCTGTGGATTCTGAAATCATATTATATGTAAAAAAACAAAAACAAAAACAAAAACAAAAAAGGTGCATACTGTATGTGGCTACATTTGAAGGTAAAAATAGAAATTATTGATGGATAAGAACTTATAAGTAATCCTTGAGAAACCAAAAACAGACAAGATCCAATTAAGAAAACAATGGTAGGCAAGAACATATACAGAAGGCCCTAAGGGAGAGTCTTGGGATAAAGGGGGGATGATATGGCACCCTACCTACAAATATAGTGGCAGCAGAAAACGGGGAAGTCCAGGAGGAAATGGCAAAGGAATTAAGTGGGAAGTACAGTGGGAAATGCTAGATGGTCTGACTCCTGTGGATTCCTTTTTTATCTGCCCAAGAGCCAGGCATCAAAAGTGGGGTTGTGTATCTTTGGGAGGAAGCAACACTTGAGGAAGGTAGAGCAGCACCCAGTATGGCTGGTAATGTCCAAGGGACCTGGGAGCAGCTGAACTCAGACGACTGGATAGAAAGGTACTCTGCCTAGGGTAGAATTTCTACCTCCTGGGTTTGACTGCTTGCTTCCTTAGAGATAGTATTTGGTTTGTTCTTCTATCCCCTATATTTTCTGTAAAGTAGAAGTTATATCTAAAGCTTTGACCATATTCAAGTTAAAAATATTTTGACTAGGATCTATTATATCCCTAATCTTTTTTTTTATTATATGAAATTTATTGTCAAATTAGTTTCCATACAATACCCAGTGTTCATCCCAAAAGATGCCCTCTTCAATGCCCATCACCTACCCTCCCCCATCAACCCTCAGTTTGTTCTCAGTTTTTAAGAGTCTCTTATGCTTTGGCTCTCTCTCCCACTCTAACCTCTTTTTTTTTTCTTTTTTTTCCTTCCCCTCCCCCATGGTTTTCTGTTAAGTTTCTCAGGATCCATATAAGAGTGAACACATATGGTATCTGTCTTTCTGTGTATGGCTTATTTCACTTAGCATAACATTCTCCAGTTCCATCCACGTTGCTACAAAGGGCCAGATTTCATTCTTTCTCATTGCCACATAGTACTCCATTGTGTATATAAACCACAATTTCTTTATCCATTCATCAGTTGATGGACATTTAGGCTTTTTCCACGATTTGGCTATTGTTGAGAATGCTGCTACAAGCATTGGGGTACAAGTGCCCCTACGCATCAGTACTCCTGTATCCCTTGGGAAAATTCCTAGCAGTGCTATTGCTGGGTCATAGGGTAGGTCTATTTTTAATTTTTTGAGGAACCTTCACACTGTTTTCCAGAGCGGCTGCACCAGTTTGCATTCCCGCCAACAGTGCAAGAGGGTTCCCGTTTCTCCACATCCTCTCCAGCATCTGTGGTCTCCTGATTTGCTCATTTTGGCCACTCTGACTGGCGTGAGGTGGTATCTGAGTATGGTTTTGATTTGTATTTCCCTGATGAGGAGTGACGTTGAGCATCTTTTCATGTGCCTGTTGGCCATCTGGATGTCTTTAGAAAAGTGTCTATTCATGTTTTCTGCCCATTTCTTCACTGGGTTATTTGTTTTTTGGGTGTGGAGTTTGGTGAGGTCTTTATAGATTTTGGATACTAGCCCTTTGTCTGATATGTCATTTGCAAATATCTTTTCCCATTCTGTTGGTTGCCTTTTAGTTTTTTTGATTGTTTCCTTTGCTGTGCAGAAGCTTTTTATCTTCATGAGGTCCCAATGGTTCATTTTTGCTTTTAATTCCCTTGCCTTTGGGGATGTGTCAAATAAGAAATTGCTGCAGCTAAGGTCAGAGAGGTCTTTTCCTGCTTTCTCCTCTAGTGTTTTGATGGTTTCCTGTCTCACATTCAGTTTCTTTATCCATTTTGAGTTTATTTTTGTGAATGGTATAAGAAAGTGGTCTAGTTTCATTCTTTTGCATGTTGCTGTCCAGTTTTCCCAGCACCATTTGATATAATCCAGTGGAAAAAATAAAGAGACTGTCTTTTTTCCACTGGATTATATCCCTAATCTTTTAAGAGCCTAAAACACATGGAAGAGAGAAAAAAAATTCAGCAAAGAACTGCATAAGAGAACTTACATACACCTCAAAAAAGAATTAATAGAGGAACCAGAACACTAAAAAAGTATTTTTTATTCTCAGAGACAGAAGTGAAAATATAGCATCTGTGATGCAGGGAAAGAAGCTATGGAAATGAATTAATCGTTTTAGAAATAGAAATATCAGTGTTGACATAAAAATTCAAGATAGGCTGAATGGCTGCATGAATGTGCCTAAAGATTGAATTAATGAGCTAAAATAAAGAGGCAAGGGATTCTTCAAGAATAGAACAAAGAAGTAAAGATTTGAAAATCTAAAAGACCTATTAAGATATATGGAAATTAAATCTGAAATTACCAATTTTTGTTCCAGAAGGAGAGAATGGAAAGGATAGATAGAACTCCCCAGTTGAAGATATAACGCCTAAAATTTTCCAGAAACAAAAAGGCAAATGTCCTGCCAATAGTACAGTTTGAAAAATTAATAAAGAAAAAAAATGAACATAAACAACAATGAAAAACAGAGTGAAGTAAAGAGAAAATGCTAGAATCTAAGAGAGAGAGACAGAGAGAGTAACTGAGATAGATTACTCAGAAGATACAGAAGTTTGAAATCAGCTTTCTTAATAGCTACAAGTGACAATGGATTCTAATTTTTAAAGTACTAAAGGAAAGGAATTTGGACTACAATCCTATACCCAACGAAACCAGTATTTAAAGGTGAGGATAAAATAAGGATCTTTTTATATATAGAAGGAGTTAAGAGTTAATTCTCTACAAATCTTCTCTTTAGTAAGAACAACTGTGAAAAGATTTCATAAGGAAGGAATGAAATGCAAGAATTTCTGGTGAGTAATCAAATTGGTAAAACTTATTTTTTTTTATAAAAATTATTTATTTATTTTAAGGGGTGGGGGACAGAGAGAGGAAGAGAGAGAATCCCAAGCAGTCTCTGCACTGTTAGTGGAGAGCCTGACACAGGGCTTTATCCCGCGAACCGTGAGATCATGACCTGAGCCAAAATCGAGAGTCCATGCTTAACCAACTGGGCCACCTAGGCGCTTCAAGTTGGCAAAACTTATTAAGCGTGCAAAGCACCAAATGTCAAAATCAAAAAAGCATTTGATATTCATTTATTATTAAATTCCTGGGGATATCAACGTTGTGGTGGAATGAAAAGGAAAAATGTAGTCATTCTTTCTTATTTGTGGGGAGGATATGTGGGGGGGAATTAATATAAATTAGAGAAGATTCATAGGCTTTTATTAGTTCCTTCAAGCATATGGGAGAAGAAGAAAGGGCCAATGGTCTTTTTCTGATTTGACATGCAATGTTTACAAATATTTATAAGCTTTAAGGGAACACATTATAACATTATGACCAGGGCAACAAATTGTTAAATAGGACAGACTTTTTTTTGAAAGCTACTTTCCCGTGACATGGCAAAAATTTCTAAGTTCAGCATGTCTTATTTTTTCAAGATCTTATTTTTTTTTTTAATTTTTTTTTCAACGTTTATTTTATTTTTGGGACAGAGAGAGACAGAGTATGGACGGGGGAGGGGCAGAGAGAGAGGGAAACACAGAATCGGAAACAGGCTCCAGGCTCCAAGCCATCAGCCCAGAGCCTGACACAGGGCTCGAACTCATGGACTGCGAGATGGTGACCTGGCTGAAGTCGGACGCTTAACTGACTGCGCCACCCAGGCGCCCCAAGATCTTATTTTTTAAGAGCAAAATTATATTAACAGAGGACAGAACCAGTTGGTAACTTATATTTAATTATATGAGTTTCCAAATGGCATGAGGGAAAAGACTTATAACTGTGAGGCTTCTTAATTTGACTTTTCATAAAACCTGTAGAACATTTACAAAAGACTTATCAGGTATAGAATCACATTTCAATGTATCAATATCAGTTCTGTGTTCATCAAGCACTAGAAATTTCTAATTAAATCATGGATTAAAGAGGAATCAAAATGGAAATTATAAAACGATGTGTTGAATGGTGGGCATTCTACAAGATTGAGGGGACATGGAGGAAATGTTCAGGCTCAGGAAAGAACAACTGTGAATTATAAGTTAAATAATCAGGTAAAACATGAATAGAAGAGATATCGTAAGGGCATATATGATGCTTTAATAAAGAACACTGGCAATAACTTCCGTAGGAGTTCAGAAAAAGAAGTAATCTCTTTATTTTTAAGTGATCATAAATTGGGATTTCCTGGTTCATAGAATGTGCATTGATAAAAAGGATTTTGATACATATTACTAAAATTTTACCTAAAACGTAGTACATCAGCAATGAATAAGCAGGCCCATTTCTTGCACCCACACAAACACTGGGTATTACAAATTTATAAAATCTTTTAAATTCGATAGGTAAAAATAATATAATAGTCTCTTAGTTATGTAGGTTTTTCCTGCTATCCCAAAGTAGAGCATTCCTATGAAACTTTTTTTTTCCCTTTTTTTGGGGGGGAGGCAGAGGGAGAGGAAGAGAGAATCTTAAGCAGGCTTGACTCTTAGTGTGGAGCCCTACACAGGGCTTAATCCTGACCCTGGGATCATGACCTGAGTCAAAATCAAGAGTCAGATGCTCTACCAAATGAGCCACACAGGGACCCTTCCTGTGAAGCTTTTTATAAGCAGAAATGGTACAAAGTGAAAAAGCAATTGCCATTATTTTATATAGAAAAAAATTTGAGCATTTGCAGACCACCAGAATAACCTCTTAGGCTTTTCTGGTACCTTAGAACACATCTTGCAAATGGATGCCAAAATAAATCACGATAAAACACAGATGCTCACAGATGCTCACAGACATGGTTCAAAGTTATGGCAGCCGGATGCGGAGATGCTGAGTATAGTTCCCGGGGAAGGATCTTGGCTGCGCCACTGCCGCTGTTTGGGGTGTGTGCTGCCTCTATAACAGAAATGCCGAATGCTATTTTCACTTTTCAGCTTTTTCGTAAAAGCAAAAATCCTCTTCAAATTCTTTCTATTGCTTAAAATAAGTACTAATTTAGGTCTTTTATAAAAGCAAAGTGGTGTAATACAAACTTCTGAAAAGTGAGGGATGTCTATATTTGTTTACTTAATTGTGTGACCATTTTGAAATATGTTTGGGGCCACTTGTAATTATTTTAGAAATTTGGAATGCCCTTTAAAATTGTCTTCCTTCGAACTTGCCCTGCATATTTATTTCATCCTAGTATTTGGAGTGGAAAGTGTTGATACTGAGGAAAGGGAGCCCGCTGTATGGGTTTTCCAGGGCGATGGTCCCCCAGGAATGGTCTTGCATCTGTATTCCCCTGAGAATTGTCTTGGGAGCCTGGCATTGTGACCAAATGCCAGGTTTGTTAAAAAAGGAGGTAGAGCTTTGCCAGGTTGTAGAATTTAGCTTGGTGGTAAGTGGTAAGGAATATCTAACTCATAACAATCCCCATTTAATTGCAGGCCCTCAGTCACAGTGAATTTCTCTGAGAACCACCATATCAACTATATTTGTTCACAGTTAACTGGCCCAGATTTTAGCACTTTACATAAATTGGGCCAATCAGAGGCCCTTCTCTGGGCATCTTAAATTGAGATTATGAGACCCTACTCTCAGTCTAAACCTGTCTCTCAGGAGAGGGGATAAAGAACTATTTTATTTTTTGCCATGGGGATCAGGGTTCAAAGAGAAGTAAAAAAAGGAAAAGAAAAGTAAGAACAAATTGTTTTCTGTAAGTGATTCCAGTTTGTTCTTGAGGCCTGGTTACATTTGCCTTTGGATTCAGTGAGAAACATTCATAATATATATGTATGCATTTGTTTTAACTTTCACCTGTTGTATTGGTTCTATTATTTGTAATCGATATAATCCTAACTGATGTGGTGGGCCAGAGTGGACAAAGATACGTTTCTTGGAATTACAGTGAATAACCCAGTCTGGCTGCAACAGGGGGCACATAATAGGAGATGGTGGAGAGCTCTGCATTCTAAGGAGCTGGTCCTGGGCTGCCTTTGCTCAGTGTATTTCAGAGAGGAGTACTGGAGCACATTAAAGGACTAATCATACTCACCCACTGAAAGAGTGTTTAGAATTGAATTAGTAGCAGGCTTAGTTTTACCACTGGTCAAAAGCAGAAGATGGTCAGTATGAAGAAAGCTGACAGGTTAAAGGGAATGGGTAGAGCAACAGAAGTGTCTTGGTCTTTTCAGGAAGACGTAGAAGAAGAATAGCTATAGAAAGATATAGATGTGACCCATGTTTAATGACGGCTGCAAAAGACACTCAATTATTTAAAAAGAAAAGCTTTATTCTCAGTCTCTCAGATCCTGAAGGATGTGGATAGAGAACTAAACCCTAAAGCTTGCCATTCCAGGTTAGTTTGACTCTACTATTGATTATTGGTTGCTGTCGTTTACATTTTTAAAATATTCTCTTGCCGGGGCACCTGGGTGGCTCAGTCGGTTAAGCGTCCAACTTCAGCTCAGGTCATGATCTCAGAGCCTGGAGCCTGCTTTTGATTCTATGTCTCCCTCTCTCTCTGACCCTCCCCTGTTCATGCTTTGTCTCTGTCTCAAAAATAAATAAATATTTAAAAAATTTAAAATAGTCTCTTGCCTAAGCTCTTATTTCACTTAATATCTACACTTCTTGGCATGCTGGCTGGATGGTACATTTGGACTAATCCAGCATATTCTCCAGTGACCTTTGAAAATTTTTTCCTACTTTTTTTCAAAAGGATGTTAAATAAGTTCCACACATTTTTTAAAATTAATAAGATGGTTCTAATAAAGACAAAAAAACCAATCTAATAAAATATAGTGATTTGATATCATATAAGTATAAATTAAACATAAAATACATCAGTCCAAGAACCCCCAAAAGATACGGGGTTTGCACAGAAATGAGAACCACAGCTTTGGACTTATCATGAGCCTTTCCTGGATTTCTTCTGTTAACCTGGCACAGAGTGTGCACACAGGTCCAGGAGGAGCTGACCACTTTGGAATAATGGAGAATATTGGAATAATGGAGAATATTGGAGAGAAGGATTTGGAGTTTTAGATAGCTTTGTTCTGAATTTTGATGACAGTTTGATTATTACAATTCAAAGTAAAAGTTCGTGAAGTGTTCAAAGATTTGAATAATAAAATAATTTTTACTGAGTCTTTAGGTTTAAATATTTGAGAGCTGAAAGGCAAAAACTATGCCTAAACTTGCATATATTATCACTAAGGTCTGATCTGTTTGTTTGTTTTTTTTCCCTTGTTCACAAAAATGGGTCAGCCATTTATTTGAACAGACATGTAAAGGAAAAAGACATCGCACAATCTTTGTTGTACCCTATTCTAGACACACAAACATACACCAATACTGTAAAAATCACATATTAAAGTTTCCCACCTAAAATTGAACAACACTCTTTTTTAAATGTATACACTTTTTTTTTTTACAGATAATATGCTAATTTTTTAACTTGGCAAATGTGCAGAGACACATTCAATGTGATAGAAAAAGGCAAAATTATAGATCAGGAGCAAAGAAACAAATGACAATGAACCCATATGATGTTTATGTGCCATGCCTTGTTCTAGGTGATTGGCATATATTCAATCTTCACAGTAGCCCTATGAGTATATACTGCTATCAGGCCTATTTAAAATTTTTTTTTTAACATTTATTTATTTTTGAGACAGAGAGAGACAGAGCATGAACGGGGAGGGCCAGAGAGAGGGAGACACAGAATCTGAAACAGGCTCCAGGCTCTGAGCTGTCAGCACAGAGCCCGATGCAGGGCTCGAACTCACGGACCGTGAAATCATGACCTGAGCCAAAGCCGGCCGCTTAACCC